GTTTCCATGGCCCAGCCAGGATTCGAACCCTGGTCTCCAGAGTCATAGTCCAACGCTTGAACCACTTACACTGCGCTGGCTTCTATCATGTCTGAAAGTGGTCCTCAGAGATTTTTGACTTGCGAAACAGTCTCAGTAAAGGGTCACTGCTGCGGAGAATGCTGAATTGAGTTCTCTGTCTCTTCAGCCATGCTATGACACTAAGAATTTGCCTCCTCTATAATGTCTGTTAAAGGGGGCAAAATCCTGTTTAATGACATTCACTTTCAACGGCTGGAAGATGTCGTTCTGTTGTTACACAGACACTTTTGTTGTACATGCCTGAAACTGTCTTGCCTGAGTGAGAGAGGCCATAGGGTGGCTTTCAAAAATAATTTTTATCATTATCCCTCTTGTTCAATATGAGAATGATGAGTTAAAAGAATGAATAACATTGGCTGCATCCACATTGGAGACATTTTATTTATTATTTGTTATGTATTTACTTCCTTTCTAGGCTGCCTTTCTCCAAGGAAGGGACCCAAGATAAAAACACCTCAAAAACATCACAGTAAAAATGTAAAAACAATTAAAACCATGTGCTTACAAACAATAGAAAGTCAACATAAAAACATTCAAAAGGAATAACCTGTTTTGACAATGCTTGAATGGCCACGGCTCCATGTTATGGAATTCTGGGAACCGTAATTGGTTTTGGTGCCAGAGCTCCCTGACAGAGTTGGCTAAAGGTCTCGCAAAACTACAGATCCCAGAATTCCCTCGCATGGAGCTGTGTCTGTGTCAAAACGGTTTATTTCTCTAGTGCAGATGCAGCTACAATGTGGTGGTTTTATAGCAGGGGAAACTCCTAGTCAGTGTATGATGCCGAGTGAGAATTATTCTTTTCTCCTGCTAGTTTCCTTTTGTCAGCTTTGCTCCAAGATTTTGGTCCTCTTTCTAAATGGTTACTATAGGCCTTTGCAGACTGCCAGAAACAGTGCACTTTAAATTGAGGCAGTGCCCTGGCTCAGTGCTAGGGAATCATGGGAACTGTATTTTATTGTGGCACCAGAGCTCTCTGACAGAGAAGGCTCAATGTCTCAGAAAAAAATACAATTCCCATGATTCCCTAGCACTGAGCCAGGGCTGTGCCTCAGTTTAAAGTGCACTATTTCTGGCAGTCTGCAAAGGCCCTAGGTTTATGTTACAGCCCTAACTATCCTGTGGGATTGTTTGTGGCTTTTGGTGAGGGCTAGCTTTTTTGGAATGCAGACAATGCCACGGCCAAGGGCTTAAAAACTATGTGACAAATCTCAGACTCAAAAGCAAATGGCAGTCCATGGCTGTGAATCCTCCCCTCACGGCCATTATTCCAGTCTTGTTTTCATATATAACCTCTGTGCCTTGCAGTCAGAGAATGCCAACAAACAGCTGTTTAAATTTATTTATTCAATAGAAATCCTGTTTTCCTTCCAGTATGGGGCCCCAAATAGCTTACACTGTTGTTGTTCTTGTTGTGTGCCTTCAAGTTGTTTCTGACTTATCGAAACCCTATTGTGATGTTTGCTTGGCAACTTTCTTCAGAGAGGGGTTTGCCACTGCCGTCCTCTGAGGCTGAGAGAGTGCAACTTGCCCAAGGTCACCCAGTGGTTTATGGCCAAGCTGGGATTTGAACCCTAGTCTCTAGAGTCATAGGGGGGTTGCAGACTGCCAGAAATAGTGCAAATTCAGTTCACTTTTAGGGTTAGGGTTAGTGCTAGGGAATCATGGGAATTGTTTTTTCCCTGAGACATTAAGCCTTCTCTGTCAGAGAAGTCTGGTGCCACAATAAAATACAGTTCCCATGATTCCCTAACCCTAACCCTAAAAGTGGACTGAATTTGCACTATTTCTGGCAGTCTGCAACCCCCCATAGTCTGACACTCAAACCACTACAACACGCTGACTGTAGGTTCATACAAAATACATAAAACAGTCTGTAGTATACACAGCTTTAAACAACAATCCAAATAAAATGTTGAATTAAAACCGTTAACAACGCATTCAAACATTTAAATAACTGTATAATCGCTTTTTCAAATAATGTATATTTCTGCTTTTATGAATGATTTTATGTAACTTTTACTATGAGGGCCAGCGAGATGTAGTGGTTTGAGTGTTGGACTAGGACACTGGGAGACAAGGATTTGAATCCTGGCCTGGTCATGGAAATCCACTGGGTGACCTTGAACAAGTCACACTCTCTCGGCCTCAGAGGATGGCTATGGCAAACCCTCTCTGAAGAAACGTGCCCCAGGATAGGTTTACTGCCTTAGGTGACGTGATGGCCCATGACTTATGCTGACTATGAGCCGTAATAAATTTATTGTATTATTGATGGCCCATGACAACAACAAATAATTTTTAATCTACATTTTTCAAAAGATATTGCTAGCTGCCTTATGGGGAGAAAGGAAGGCTCTAGATCAGGGATTCCAAAACTCTGCCCTCAAGGTTTTTGGATTACAACTCCCAGAAGCCTCTGTCATCTTGGCCAATAGTCTTGGATTCTGGGAGCTGAGTTCCAAAACACCTGGAAGGCTAGAGTTTGGGAGTCACTGATCTAAATGAATTAAATAAATAAATGTTAAAATTACATATGACATATTAAAAACAGCACCTCTTTCTACCCAAACCAGTTAAAGTCTGGTGGCCTGGTTAAAGAAGAAGTCTGCCTGCTGAAGAAAAGAGTGAAGGAAGGGTGTCCCTGCACCGGATAAAGCTCTCTTCCATGTTTTCACCAAAGGAGGGCACAGCTCCCATATGGCAAGCTTGACACTTTCCTTGTTCTCAGTTTGCCATTTTGAGATGGTATGTTTGTCATTTTGCCGTGGTGGGTTTCAGGAATCTGGTCTTTCCAACCTCCTGGGGTTCTCTCCAGGAGGGAAGGAAGGAAGGAGTTACACTTTCCTCCCTGCCTTGACTTTTTAAAAAAAAAATCCTCCTGAGAACAGAAAGCCATCTGCTCTGATTTGTGAGCAGTTTTATGGTCCGGGCACTGGAGCAGTGGTGGCCTTGAATTGCCAGAAGGCATAGGCTAGGCTTTAAACCTACAGGGAAAGACGAGGAGTTGATCAGAGGGTAAGGATCGGAGCCTGTCTCTCTCTGCAGGTTTCCATACTTTTGTGCCTGCTTTCTTTTTTCCTCCCCTTAGAGTTTGAATGAACACGTGCCTTGGGCACTTCTCTCAGATAGCAGTTGTGGCTTTCCGTGTGAAGCATTGCTTTTCACTTTGTGGATGTGCCTTCTGATTTTTTGGGGGGATTGTGTTGAACACTGTTGCGACTCGTCCCTCAGCATCACAAGTCTGTAGTTTTCATCATTTTCCAACACTTGCAACCATTCTTCTTCTTTGTACAGTTTGGTGAACTTTTCTTTCATTCTTGATAGCTCAAGTTGCTTTAGGCTTTATCTTCTGAAACAGCTGGAAATTGGGGGTGGCACCATGGTAACTTGCATTTATATCATTTGGAGCGTATGCTTTGAAGAGGGCTATGTTTCCTTATTTTAAACACAATATTTGTGCTGGAGGATAGAAATTCTTATTTTTTATCTCATGCAAGTGCAGGTGAGGGCAGTTTGTCCTTGCTTTCCCTCTGTTAGGTTTTTAGTCTTCCTCTGGAAACATAAATCCTGCGTCCTAGCAAAACTTGCCTTGTCTTATGTCTTACATATGGTGCAAATCTATGGTACATGTTTGTTGAAAGGGAAAGGGATGTGCACAGCACACCTTGAAGATTTAAAACAACAAAGAACATCAGGTTAAGAAACCTGTGCCCAGGTATCTATAAGGACAACACAGGAAGGAAAAAAATGGCAATTACAAAGCATAGATGAGATAGCTTTATTTTCGTTAGGATAAAACAGTGAACGGAGCATTATGCTGCATTTGCTTCTAATTTCAGAATTTTAGAGTTGATGTAAATGTCACCTGAATCTTCTGATTTACGTTCAGCCTCAGCTAACTGGTAGTATTAAAAAAAGTCTCGGGTGTAGTTTCTGTCTTGAGTTTGGATGTGTATGTGTTTTGTTTTTCACTCTTTCCAATGCCTTCCAAATTTCTTTGACCCTTGGAGAAAACAAAAATGGAACAGCCACTGCTGTGCTTTTCTAGTCCACAGCTGAGCTTGCAAACTGAAATTTCGAAAGGGGAAAGGAAAACCTCCGAAAACACAGGCTTAAGCAGCTGCTGAATGAAAAATAATGGAATAAATGGTTATTTAAAACAGGATCCACAAAACATTTAGGAAAAGCATATGGGGTTCTTTTTCTAGATGTCTGTGATGTCTATAATTTGAGAAGCATGAAGTATTTGCCCCTCTCTTCGCCATCTCTCTCTCTCTCTCTCTCTCTCTCTCTCTCATATTCACTCGTCTCTGACATATAGGACTTTTAAACATGGTTCTCTCCAGTCCATTGCAGTCAAAATGGGAGCTGTGCCTGGAGGGATGGAGACATGCTTCCCCCCACCAAAATTGACACCCCAGCGGTTTCTGTCCCTGCAAAGTTGGATATTTGTCACCCAGAGCAAAGGAAGCACCCGTTCTTGCGATGAGAAACCTGCCTGCTGAGGCTGGCATGGGGTGTAAGATTAGCCGAAGCTGTGGAAGCTGTTCTGAGCCTGCCATGTGACTGCAGCGTTGTGTTGGGAGGAAGCTGTAGAGGTCAACACAAAGGCATTCTGCCAGAGACTGCCTTGCGGATGGAGCTTTTCCAGATTCCTAACCCCTTTCATCAGCTGCTCCCATTCAACAAGAAGCATCCTTCCTTAGATTAATCGTGGAAATTCAAGGACACAGAGGTTCCTTTGCGCTTGGGTAGAGTGGGTGGGAACACAGCTGTTTCTAAGGACCCTTTAAAGAGATTTAACCCATCCCTGCATGGGACAAAATTGCCACTCATAGCATTCAGTGTTCAACTTCAGGGTTGGGGGGATGTTGATGAAATTGCCCGACTGTGGGTGGAGAAAGGTTGTGTGGCACAAAAACCTGGGCTCCGACTCTGTAGGAAAGAACACACTTTGCCTCTAAAAGGTCCTAGGTTCAGTCCTCAGATCTCC